AATAAGTCTGTCGCTCTGCTCCAAGGGACCTGTGATCTGTGTACTATGTCCAGGAGCTCGATAGATTGGACAAGGTCATCTGACAAGATAAGGGAACCCAAGGCGCTTGATCGAAGACCCACTTTATCCATTTGACCATATCTCTTTATTAATGAGGTCAGAGAGCATTCTACTCTGTCACATTTACCATGATAGGGATTAATTTTCCTGAGTTTTTCCAAGGTCTCTTTTTTTTTTTTTTCTTTTTGCATTTCAATGGCCTTGTATGTGATCAATTTCAAGTGCAAGTGAATTGCAAGTGGAAAATTTCTGAGAGCAACTGAGTTGTACTTGACATTTTGGGGTCCCAGTTACGGAGTAGCTCTCAAAAAGGTCAGGTACAACTTTGTTGTACTGAAAAATGCCAAGGGCAGCTCAATAGCAATTGAAAATGGAAAGAGAAATGATATTCTAGCCCCAATCAGCCTCCCGGACTCTGCAGGATCTTTGTTCTGTTGTGTGAAGGGAAATGGAAAACTGTCCACTGATGTGGGAACATTCTCCCCGGAAGCACTCGTCTCTGAGTGATTTATGGACGGTGTTCCTATCGATCTATTGACGCCATGCCGAGCGCCCATTTTCTTTCCTTGATTTGTCTTAAATCAAGAATTCTGTCACTCAAGAAGACTATAAATCCGTGTTAATTCCTCTGTATTCTTGAAGCTTAATGAACCAATCCTTTTCAGTATTACAGGGAGAAAAAGGTGGAGAGACTATGATATTTGAAATTAGGCAGACTTCAAAAACTTTGTAAGAAAAACGAGTGGCTCTCGTGGTTGTTAACATAGGTAAGGTCTAGTACAATAGATGTGAGACTAAAAAGCCAAACACGGATCCCCAGATACGATGTGTCAGTCAACATGAGTTCAGTTTTGCATTAATAAGTTTCACTTCAGGGTGGTGGGGATGGTGATGGTGCACATGGAACTTCTCCCTCATGCATTATGCAGAGCTTTGACTCATTTTGTGAAGGTGTGTCCCTTCAAATCAGTACGACTTTGAATACGGGGTACTTTAAAATAGGAGAAACTTTGCAATAAGGGGACTGATACATTCTTCTGACCATGCCCCAGAGTATTAGGGAAGTTTTCTATTCTGGCCACATGATGCAGCTTTTGCCATAACTACTGTTTATTCGTCGGTGAATATTCATCAAATATTCATGACTTCTATTATGAGTTCGGCACTGGGCTTGGTGCCAGAGACATAAGGGTGGGAAAAACCAGAAGAGGTTAGTCTCTTCCTTCCTGGAGCTCATGGGTTATAAAGAAGAATAAAAATAAACAGTAACAAATACTGCAGAATAACTATGTCAATAAAGGGCATTTTTGGCATCATGTACAGGTGTAGAAGCCGGATCGACGTAGGCACACATTCCACTCTTCCTCTTCCTGTTTCTATCACCTTGACTTTTGTCAGAGGTGAGAGGTAGGGGTTCCGATTCATCTTTCTGCAAGTGGAAATCCAGTTTTCCCAGCACCCACTTGCTGAAGAGGTTTTCCTTTTCCCACTGGATTGACTGGTACCCCTTTGTCAAAAATCAGTTGACTCTATGTTTGGGAATTTATTTCTGGGAACTCTATTCTTTTCCATTGCTCCATGTGTCTGTTTCTGTGCCCGTACCATGCTGTTTTGATTACCACAGCTTTAGTATATTTTTGGGTCAGAGAGTGAGATGCCACCCACTCCACTCTTCTTGTGCAGAATTGCTTTGGCAGTATGGGGTCTTTTATGATTCCAGATAAACTTTATGGTTGTCTTTACTAGGTCAGTGAAGAATGTGTCTGGTACTTTGATTGGCATTGCATTAAATATGTAGATCAATTTGGGTAGAATTGCCATTTTGATTATATTAATTCTTCCAATCCTGGAACATGGAATATCCTTCCACTTTTTTTGTGCCATTTTCAGTTTCTCTTTTTCATCTTCTCATAGTTTTCCTTGTGGAGGTCTTTAACTTCTTTGGTTAGATTTATCCCTAAGTATCTTATACTTTTTGTGGCTATGGTAAATGGAATAACTTTTTTTAGTTCTATCTCAGTCTGCCTGTTGTTCATATATAGAAATGCTATAGATTTCTGGATATTAATTTTGTATCCTGCAACTTTACTGTATTCATGTATTAGTTCCAGAAATTTTTTCATGGAAACCATTAGGTGTTATAAATAAACAGAGTTTCACCTCTTCCTATTTGAATGCCTTTTATTTTTTCTTCTTTTCTGATTCCGTTGGCAAGGACTTCCAGTATTATATTGATAAGGAGTGGAGAAAGTGGGCATCCTTATCTTGTACCCATTTTTAGTGGAAAAGCTTTCAGCTTTTCTCCATTGAGGATGATGTTCGCTATGGGTTTTTCATAGATAGCTTTTATTGTGTTGAGAAATGATCCTTCTATGCCAATTTTGCTGAGAATCTTGATTATGAAGGGATGTTATATCTTATCAAATGCTTTTTCTGCATTAATTGATATGACCATATGATTTTTATCTTTCTTCCTATTAATATGGTGTATTACATTTATGGTTTAAGGATAAGGGCGATAGAGGCTTCATAGAAAGAATAAGGGAGAGATTCACCCTTTTGGATCTTTAGAAATAACTTGAGCAGAATGGGGGTTAACACTTCTTTGAAAGTTCTGTAGAATTCAGAGGTGAATCCATCAGGGCCGAGGCTTTTCTTTGTTGGGAGGTTATTTATTACTGATTCAATCTCCTGGCTTGTTATGGGCCTATTCAGACTTTCTATATCCTCCTGGCTCAATCTTGGTAGATTACATGTGCCCAGGATTTGTCCATCTCATCCAGATTGTCTTGTTTCTTGGCATACAGTTGTTCATAGTATCCTCTAATAATGTTTTGTATTTCTACTATGTTGTTATTTTTCCTGCTTCACTGAAGATCTGACTCTCAATAAGTCTCACTAGTGGAATATCAATTTTGTTTTTCTTTTCAACTAACCTGCTTTTACTCTCATTTATTTTCTGTGTAGTTCGTTTATTTTCTATTTCATTTATTTTTGCTCGCATCTTTATTATTTCTGTTCTCCTGGAGTTTTTTGGATCTTGTTGCTGTTGTTTTTCCAATTCTCTGAGGCATGATGTTAGGTGATCCATTTGCCTTCTTTCCATCTTCCTCTTATGTGCACTAATTGCTATGAATTTCCCTCTTTTGACTGCTTTAGCAGTGTCCCAAAGATTATGGAAACTTGTGTCCTCATTGTCATTGGCTTCCATGAATGCTTTGATTTCAGTCTTTATTTCTTCAGTAGTTGTGGAGTCATTCAGGAGTAGGTTATGTAGTTTCCATGTATTTGAGTATTTTTTTTTAGAGTTTTTTTTTTGTTTGTTTTTTTGTTTTTTGCTATAGGGTGCATGTGCTCACCAGACAGAGAGAGAGAAAGAGTAGAAAGCGAGAAATTACCCCTTGGGGGAATGGCCATGCCACAATCCCTTCTCCTTCATTCTCCTCTCGGGATCTTGGGCACGTACGCACACGCACCCTGCGTGAGTTTTAAGCCACCAGGTCCAGGACTTGAACCACGGTCGGCTACATGGGAGTTCAGTGACATAGCCATTACACTAACTGCTGGTATCTGAGTATTTTTGAGGCTGGAGTCGTGATACTTACTTCTGACAAAATAGCCTTTAAGATAAAAACTGTTCGAAGAGACAAAGAAGGGCACTATATTGTAGTAAAAGGGTCAATCAATCAAGAAGATGTAACACTTATTAATATCTATGCGCCTAACATAGGAGCACCCAAATACGTGAAGGAAAGATTGTTAGATCTAAAAGGGGAGATAGACTGCAACACACTAATTGTTGGAGACCTCAGCACTGCACTATCCCCTCTGGACAGATCATCTAGACAAAAAATAGGTAAAGAGATAAAAGATCTAAATGATACCATTCTTATTCTTTTTAGTCATCATTTCTAAATTTACAAATGGGCAATACAACTCACCTATTATTTCAAAAGACATTTCAAAAATAATTATAATTTTAAAAAGTGCATTTACTTACCTCTCCCATGATAAAGAGACAGAGAGAGAAAGAGAGAGGTGCATCTCAATGAGGTCCTCATGCCACAATCTACCCCCAATCATAGGTGGCCTGGGTTGTGTGCAGGCCTCATGCACCCTGACTGATTTGTTTAAATTGACACAATCACTGTATAGATTTTGGGCAAAGTGTGATTTTTCAGTGTAAGAAGACAATGTGTAATAATCAAATAAGGGTAATTAGCGTATCCATTACTTTGAACATTTACCATTACTTTGTATCTGGAACTTTTTTTTGAGAGAGATATTTGTTATAGGGTGTGTGTGCTTGCCAGAGCAACAGAGAAAGACAGAGAGACAGAAAGTGAGAAATCTACCCCCCTCCCCCCCCGGGAGGATGGCCACACTGCAGTCCCTTATCTTCCATTCTCCTCTTGGGATTTTGGGCATGCATGTACACATACTTGGTGTGTTTTCAGCTGCTGGGTCCAGGACTCAAAGCACAGTCAACTATGTGAGAGTCCAGCAATGTAACCATTATGTCATCTGCTGGTCCCTGTCTCTGGAACATTAAACATCTTCTCCTCTAGCTGTCTTGAGATATATTATAAATTACTGTTAACTTTTTAAAAATAATTATTTATTTCATTTTGAATATATTATTATTTAAAAATTTCCTATAGGGAACACATGTTCACAAGAGAGAGAGAGAAAAAGTGAGAAAGCAAGCTACCAGGTCTGGGACTCAAATTGTTGTTAGTCATGTGGGAATCCAGCGCCTTAATCACCATGCCACCTGTTGGCCCTGCTGTTAACTTTTCATTTTTGCTTAAATTCTGTTTTTAACTGTTAATGTTTAATTTTTGGACTTCAAGAATACTAATCACATCCCATTATACCCCATTGGAGAATACAAAAGGACAAAAGAAAATCCACAAACAACATTAATGACAATAAATTACCCTGGGCTATGTAAGGCATGGTGTCCTCTTTCAGAGGGATACTTGTAGGTCGGGGAGTTGGGGCAGGAGGTCTGTTGAGGATGAAAGAGCGGCTTCCAGTTCTTTCCTTTATACTCCTGTTGGCCAGAATAAGGTCATATTCACTGTCGTGGATCTCAGCAAAAGTGTACGGGTCCTCCCCCTTCTCTCGCTCTTCTTCCTGTTCTTCTCCTTCTAGTGCATCTCCTCCTTCTTTTATCACACCAGGATGACACCAGTTTTGACTTCCTTCTGAGAGAAGAGATAGAACTCTAATAAACAAGGAGTCAGGACAGGCTGCAATGGAGTCACGATAGCCAAGCTTTCACTAGGAAGAGCTTGCACACAGGGCAGCTCACTGCAATGCTTTAACCTTGTCGCAACCTGCAATGGGGCCTAAAGCAATGACCAAGACTGTGGTCTTCCTGGCCTGGAGGCCCCAGGCTAGTACTGCAGATCATTCAGGTCAGTTAGCCCCACAGAAAATTCCAGTAATCAGTCACCTCAATTATCAGTTAAGAAAGGGAGCCAAAGAATGTGGGCTTCATAGACAATTTTAGTTTTCTCAGAGACCACTTCTTTATCAGAGAGCAAGTCCACTGTTAGGTTGGCTGGATAAAAAGCCTTAGCTAGCACCTGGAGTTGGCAACTCTTTATTGGGAACCCTCCCTGCCAGCTGTTTGTTCCTTTCTATTAAAAGTTCATTTTACTACCCCCACCCATTTCTGATTCTTTGTGATCAAGAGACACAAGCTTGGCCCACTCAAACATCCTGTAACATTTCCATTTGAATTTCTACCATTGCACCTGCTTCCAAAAAAGTTAGATCACGTTTACTTTTCTACTACGTGCCATGTGATTGCCATCCATTTGTCACTTAACTTGAGCTTCCCAATGGCTTAAATCAAATGCCCTAGAAAACAACATATACGAGGAGCTCCTGTCTTTGAAAAAAAAGTTTCTATGTCACCCCATACATTCTAAAAAAAATTGAGCTATCTAATTTACTAACATATTATGCAATTTGTAATTGTTAATTTTGTTGAGAAAACTCAGTCCATTTAAGACATGGATTTCTTTGAAAACATAAATATTTTTCACATTACTTTGTGGATATATCTACATAAATATATTATTTTTGAATGATTTCCTATCAGGAAATTGAATTATAAATATGTCTCACGATACAGATACTTTGAAAATGTTTTTCAAGCATAATGCTTTTTTTCTCATTTGAAATAATTTTACCATTGATATTGCTTGCACTGGATATTTTGCCTAAAATTGCTCTGAAAATGACAGGCGGGGACAGCCACGGTCACTATTACTTGATTTCCTAGCACTCAGTCTCTGACTATGATAAAATGACCTTCAAAAATGCAACTCTTAATTTCTACAAGCCAATATGACCCTCCTTCATAGAGGAAGGTCACCCTAAATAAATAGTGCTTGTGACATTGAAAACTGCGTGGATGTATAATCAATGCCTTGAGGATCAATTAATGTAAAAATAAGAATAAAACATAGGGTTTTTAAAAACTTTTTTAAAAATTTCATTTTCTATTTTACATTCAATCACATTATTTAGTTTACAAACTGAATATTTCAACATGTGAACATTTCTCCCAAGTCCAGTAGATAAAACTATAAAAGTATTTTCAACAGATAATACCACATTTCTTTGTGCCATTAATGCTTTGCCTCTCTATTTTTCTTCTAAATGTCCTTCCTCAGACTCTACTCTTCTACACACACTATATCTGGTATTTACATCCATTTACTATGTTTCTATATCCTTTAGTCAATAAGTTTCAGTCATAGACACTCTGTATATATTAAGTGGGGACATACAATGTCTCTCCTTCATAGCCTGGCTTCACTAAGCAGTAAATCTTCCATATTCTTCCACTTTCTGTCAAAAGCCAGGTTTTTTTTTTTTTTAAATGGCTGAATAGTATTCCATAGCGTATATGTGCCACAGTTTTTCTATCCTTTCATCTGTTCGTGGGCATTTGGGTTGGTTCCATATCTTAGCAATTGTGAATAGTGCTGCAATAAACATTCATGTGCAAGCACTTTTCTGATTAAGAATTCTTCTGCCCTTTGGGAGGCTTCTTTTTCTTTTCTTTTTTCTTTTTTTTTGAGAGATTTCTGCTGTAGGGCACCTGCATTCATCAGAGGCAGAGAGACAAAAAGCGAGAAATCACCACCCAGGAGGGATGGCCACACTGCAATCCCTTCTCCTCCAGTCTGTCAAGGTCTTAGGTATGCATGCACACGCAGCTGGCATGAGTTTTAAGCTGCTGTGTCCAGGACTCAAACCACAGTGGACTACCAGGGGTGTCCAGTGACATAACCGTTACACCATCTGCTGGTCCAAAAAATTAAAGGTTTCTCAGTTTTTTACAGCTTTTATATTCAGCAAAAATCCTTATGTGTATTTACAATAAATGTGCTAAAACAGTAGCAGTTATTTTGAAGACAAACATATGATATACATTGATTAATAAATAAGTTGAAAAGAATTTGATGACTCTACCAGGTTGGTGAAAGGTTTTTTTTTTAATTTTTTAAAATTTTTCTCCAATTTGCCCTTTGGTGAGTGAGACTCTGATCCCTAAAGTTATTTATTTAGTAGTTACTAATGGGAATTGCAGTGGAAAAACTTAGAAGCTAAAGAGACAGTCAAGTAGCAGAGCAGAAGGAAGGGATGTTGTTATAAGGAGACTGAGGACTTGTCTGATGGGCTTCTGAGGAGACAGCAAGGTAGCACTCCAACAGAATCTTCAATCTCGTTTTAGTTAGCTAGCCAAAGAAGCACTACTCACCTCCATGCCCGTCACTAACTTCGTCACCACAGTTTGCCTTTTCTCTACGAACAATACGACTTTGAGATTTTGACTTTACGACTTCTGTTTCGCTGACAGCACCACAGGTGAAACCAGATGAGGTGCGTGGGAAACATTTTCATAGTGCTTCATTTTTGGGGGGAATGGATCAGCTCTCTTCCTTTCATAAACCAGTTTCCTGAGCTGCCTTTTCCCCACCCACTTCCCTTCCCAAGTCTTTCTAAATTTGGGATTGTGCTGGGAAGCATACATTTTACTTTTTACTTTCCAAAGTATCAGCTTTTACTTTTCATTTAGGAGTGGAACCTAAGCTTTCTCAATTCAGGCTGCACACTAGTAAAGATGAAATAAATCATTCTTATAATTCCAATAATTGGGCCTAGTGTGAAAAAAAAGAAAAGAAAAGAAAGAAAAGAAAATAAAAATAAGAAAAAGATGACTCCTAAAAGCCTGAGAAAACTGCTCATAGATGTCTTTGACGCCTGGCACATTCTAATTACCATCACTACAGCTCGGGTCTGAGTTAAAGAGGGATCATAATGATAGTTACTCTCTGGGCTTGTTAAGGTGAAAACAGAAGATGTATTTTTTTTTCCTTTTCTTCATTTATTTTTTACATTCAACACTGTATATCATTACAATATACTAAGTGCATTTTCTCAGCATGAATGCACTGTATATTAGTCCAGTCAAAGATATTACCATACTAGTATCATCAGCAGATAGTTTTCCATTTTTGTGTCCCTTAAACATTTTGCTTCTTTCTTTTCCCCTTGATTTTTTTCTTTCTTTTTTTCTTTTTTTTTTTTTTTTTTTTTTGGAGACATTTTTGCTATAGAGCTCGTGTGCTCACCAGAAAGACAGAGAGACAGAAAGCGGGAAATCACCCCCCGGGGGCAGGGGGTGACCACGCCGCAATCCCTTCTACTCCATTCTCCTCTCAGGATCTTGGGCACGCACACACATGGGCCCGGCATGAATTTAAGCCACTGGGTCCAGGACTTGAACTGCAGTTGGCTACATGGGAGTCCAGCAACATAGCCATTATGCTAACTGCTGGTCCCCTTTTTTCTTTTTCTTCTTTTTTGGTTCCCCTTGATTCTTTTCCTCTTACCAGGGTGCATGCACTCACAGGACAGAGACAGGGGGCTGGGGGAGAGGGAGAAAGCACCTTGCAGAGGGGATGGCCACACCACAGTCTCTTCTTTTCCATTCTCCTGTATGAGAGACTCAGCTACTTTAACCACCATGCCACTGCTTGGCCGGACTATAAATTGAAAAGTGCTTTATAGTTTGTTTGTTTTTTAAGGTTTGGGCATGGGCTTGCCAGAGAGGAGAGAGACAGGGGAAGTGGGAAATCACCCCCTAGGGGGATGGCCATGTGCAATCCCTTCTCCTCCATTCTTCCCTCAGAATTTGGGTATGCATGCACACATGCCCAGAGTGATTTTCAAGCCATTGGGTCAGAAAGTCAAACTACGATTGTCCATGTGGGAATTCAGCTGCCTTAACCACCATGCCACCTGCTGGCTGTGTGTGCTACAGTTTTATATAGTATTAAGTTTCTCCAATAAACAGATCTATAAAGCTACCATGAGTAATTTAATGTTTAGGTTACTGATGAGTAATTAAATTTAGGGGGAAAAATCCCATGCAAGTCACTGCCAAAAAAAAAAAGTCGTAGCTAACAGTCATGCTTTTAAGAACCGTGATCAAAGAGAACTTTTTAAAAAAATCGACGTTTTATGCTCTGCCTACTTTCAACATCAGCCCTGTGAAAAGATGAGATGTAAAGCAACATTATATATAAAATATAAAAATCAAGCTTTTAATAAAAGTGTTTTTTTTAAATTTATTTATTTTATTTTATTTTATTTTATTTTTTTTTTGATACAGGGTGTGTGCGCTTGCCAGAAAGATGGAGAGAAATCACCCCCCAGGGGGGATGGCCACGTCGTAATCCCTTCTCCTCCATTCTCCTCTCAGGATCTTGGGCACACACGCACATGTGTCTGGTGTAAGGTTAAGCTGCTGGGTCCAGGACTAGAACCGCGGTTGACTACATGGGAGTCCAACGACATAGCCATTATGCTAACTGCTGGTCCCTTTAATTTATTTTTTATATTTGGTAGTTTTCAGGAGGTATCATAGCCAACATTCCATTTCTGTTCTTGGCTCTTTGGAGAACATTTTCAGTTGAGTTTCCTAAGTGACGTATCATATATAAAAATTTACATCAGGAAAAAGATGATTTAGATCTTTAACCTGACACAAGACAACCTTGTCTTAACAATTAATTTGAATCATTATTTTAAAATAATTCAAATCTGAAAAAAAAGAGAAAATATGCCAAAAACCAGTGTATGGTTCCTCTCCCCCCCACCCCATACTAATCTGCCTTCTTCTTAGAAGTATCTCAAGGGCCTAGAAGCGCTTGACACATAGTAGGTCATCAGGAGGACCAGCTGAATGAATCCGAGGAGACCCTGAGTCTTCACAGACACAGTCTTTCAGGGCACATTGCTGAGTTCCATAGGCATCAAAATTCACTTTCCGAAACAGGTTTATGTACTTGGGAGCTTTCTGACCAACACCTGCAGAAGACACTCAGGATTTTGATAACAGGTGTCTTTTAAATCTTTCTTTTCACATTTTCTTTGTAAGAACATTTTATGAATTTGGAAGGTAAATACAAAGCAATGAGTAAATGGGTGCAGGAACACGGCGGTGACCCAAAGTGACTGAAAGGGAAGGAGAACTGGGAGGTCTGGCTGCCCTGGAGCACACAGGCAGATCCACCTGGTGGAGAAGCTCCTTCGCGGCCTCGGCCCTAGCCTGCCTCGTATACCCAGCTCCCGCCCCAGTGCCCCAGCCTCCATCTTAACGCTCAGGGAGGCACATGCGTGACGAACCTTTACCTCGTCCTCTACAGCTCCTCCCCAGTGAAGCGCACAAGTTCATTTTCAAATAGCTTTTCCCTCCTGTGGCGGGACCAGCAGATGGCACAGTGGCTCCATCGCGGGACTCCGACTTAGCGGACTGTGGTTTGAGCCCTGGACCAGTGGGCGTGCACCTGCGTGCCCAAAACCCGAGAAGAGAAGGGATTGAGGAGTGGCCATCCCTCCCTGGGTGTGTGTATGTGTGATTTCTTACTTTCTCTGTCTCTGACGGACTCTCCAGCGAGCACACGCGCCCTATAGTAAAAATCTCTTAAAAAAAAAAAATAAAAGCCGTAATGGTTGGTAGTGGCAGTGGTTAAGGCACCTAAGTCCCGCAGGATTGACCCAAGTTCAAGTCCTGGACCTGGTGGCTTATTTTCTTACTTTCTCTCTCTGGTCAAATTAAAATAATAAAATTAAAGAAAATAATGCTTTAACGTGGCATTTACTTTTCTACACTACAGAACTACATCTCTTTTCCAAGTTTTATGTACTTACTTGAAGCTTTGTAATGACACTCCCCCTCCCCCAAATCAAGGAGGAAGGAAGTAGGGAAATGGGAAGGAGGGAGGGAGAAGGAGGTAGCCACCATGTCCCCTGCCTGGTTTCCTGGGCAGGAGGGACGAGGCTTGGCTTTCAGAGGTGGTCTCTGGTGGATCTGCCCCTGCCCTGGGCATGGCAGGAGCCTGGCTCTTACCTTGCAGGGCTGAGTGAGATTTCTCCAGCGGAAGTGCAGCAGCTCCAGGTCGGGGTGGGGGCAGCGGCGGCCTGCAGCTCACTGGCTCCTCTAGGGAATTATTTTCTGGATCAGCTCCGGGAATGAACACATACAAGTCGTCGTCCTGGTTCTCAGAACTTGCACCGGCAGCCCCGGGCACACTGCACCAGGCCTGGGCGCCCCCCTGGCCCTCCTCGCCTTCCCCAGCCAGCTCCTCAGCCTCAGCTCCTTCGGCGCTAGGCCTGCGCGTCCTCCTGGCTTCCAGATCAGGTGCAGGCCGGCCTCTGTCTGTTTGGGGTGAAAAGTGAATGATTTCTTTTTAACACACCATCTGGAGGCACTTCCTATTTTGCAAATTCCTACAGACATTGTGGTGCTGCTAATAAAAATGTGACGACCTGATACAGTGGAAAACTGTCAATGCCTGACTCAGAGAACAGTCGTTTCTGGGCTTTTGAAATATTAAAAAAATGTTTACCACATGCACAAAGTCTCTTGTGTCTTTAGTACATGGCACACCCGTGCTTCTGTATGAGATTCTCATTCTCCGGAGTTGCTGTTTGAGCAAATTCATGGATTTGTTAGCATTGCTGCATTTTTATTAGCAATCTACATAGCTGGCCTACTAACACAAGTAATAAGGAAGTAATGAAAAAGGTAAAGCAAAGGAAGAAGTAAACCTTAATATGCTTGTAAATAGCAAACATAAATGGATCTGTGACTCAGTTATTTTAATGCCATATTAAGTTTACCACAGGATGCTATGATAATTGTTATAAGCAATTTACTATAGGTATATTAATTTTTGAAACCATTACTCCAGAAAGATGTTGATTTTTTTTTTTTTAAACAAGAAAGGCATCTGAGGCATGAATGGTAGGTAAATCACTCTGAGGCTCAGCTCTCTCACCGTAAAATGACTCCCATTCTGAAATTTAACCAAAGGGTCCAGAGTTGCTCTTTTCTTTGAGCCATCAGTATTTATAATAAAACACATAATTTGTGTACAATACAAAACCATCATTTGTATTATACACAATAAATCTCTTACTGTTTGGGAAAAGATATAGAAAAAAGATATTATAATGCAATAACTTTAAAACTTAAAAAACCCTTTTATTACATTTTCTTCATAAAAAAACTTCTCTAAGTGAAGAATTCGAATTTAAACCAGACTTTTGAAACTTCAGAAGAGACTTGGAAACCCGTATGAAAGACGTGAAAATGTGAATTGTCACTGTCGGTGCTAACAATTGCTGTTTTAAAATGTGGCTAAAAAACTGGGCCAGTGGCAGCTGGTGATTAGGGTGATCGGAGCCCACGTGGCTGACCACACAGTCCAAATTCTCGATCTGGCAGCCTGAAAAACAAGCTGGGCCCCTGGGCCTGCATGCCCCAAATCCTGAGTGGATGAGGAAATGGAGGAGGAATTGCTGTGTGGCCATTCCCTGCAGGGGGCGTTTGGAGCCTGGGGTGCTTTCTCACTGTCCCTGTCTCTCTGAGTCTCCACTGAGTGCATATGCCCTCTGGCAAATTATTAAAAACACTTTAAATGTTTCTAATTTCGATCATAGCTTAAAAAAAAGCAATTATCAAGTGGTAGAAAAGGACTTTTATTTTTCAATGAAGAGTTACCCCTTGTTCAGTCTTGTAAAAATGATTAGTCACATGGAAAAATGGTACCCAGGAGGGTACTCTGTATTACTACATAGGACTTTCTTTTCTGTGTTTCTGTTCTTTCATGTGAGAGATAGAAAAGGTCCAGCTCCCAGGGGTAGAACTGAGCCAAGGTTCTTCAACTCCCAGCCTGGGCAGAGCAGACAGAAGCTGACTCTGCAGCCCGTGCACACAGGTCTCATTCCTCGCTCCACCCGGCTCCAAACACCGAGCCTGAAGCCAAGACCCCTCCGGAAACGTGGGTGAGCACACAACAGCGTGACTGAGAAGAGGCTGTCCTCAGCCCAGCTAAGGACTTCTGTATTTCTGCCTGTGCACATCCGTCATTGACTTAGAATTACATTCGCACTGTAGGAAATGACTCGTGGCCACGCTTATGCTTATGAATTCCTCAATTTTCTTAACACGGAGTAAGTTAGAGAATCTCTTTTGTACTTGTCAAATAAGTTAAACCAGGAATTCAGTCGTGGCAGGTTGGATATCGTGGGTCGGTAGGTTTTAGCCAGTTCCAACGTAGTGGTGACACCAGAGGGCATCTGCTGACTTGGGGTGCCCTAGACTTCTCCCCGCTCCTGAGAACGAGCCTGAGAACAGGGTCCAGTCAGAGTGGCTCATGTATGAGAGAGTTTTTACTTCTGGGGGGATATAACTAACTAACTAACTATGTATGTAGAAACAAGAAATGGAAATTATTTGTGATGATAACGTGAATGACTAAGCCACTATGCAGTGTATTCTGGAAACTGCATCTTGTATGCTGTGAGGATGTTCAGTGAATGAACGCAAAATAAATAATTAATATAAAAATAAATAAAAAGAAATGAGGATTTTCTTTACAAATACCAGAAAAAATGTTTTCTTATTTCTGGCAATTCTTTAAGTGCCATGGTAAATATACGGTCATTATCAATGATGGCCTTTATCAACACTTTTTTAAAAGGTTTATTTAATTTATTCATGATAAAGAGTTCATGCGCACACACTGGAGTAGGAAAAGCACCCTCGTCAGGATCTCGCTATGCTGGGATCCTCCTTCCTCAGCCCTCCTGCCGTGCTCTCAGGCAGAGGAACACGTGATGTGCACAGTTTGCAAACTGACCTGGGGATCTGAACCTGTGTTTGGCCCTGTGGCTTTGAGCCTGCTGCTCAGTTTGCTATCGACTGCTCCACCAGGCTGGGATTGTCATTGCTTTTATTACTATCAACAATGATAAGATATATAACTTGGTGTATTAATTCATTAATATTTAGCGATTCCTGTGTTCTGCATTAATGTTCAGAGGAATTAACAGAGTTTTACCCAAGTATGCTAGTTAGGAAATTTCATTGCAAGTCAGCCTGTCATTGGACAAACTTGCGGTTAATAATGGTTAATTGAGGGTCCATTATGTGCTATTACAGGTGCTGGGGAGGAAATCAAAATGGTGAAGAAAAGAAGGAATCCTGGTCCCTTTGAGCATGTATTTTAGGAGAGAACAGGCAATAAACCAATAACCAGATATATATAATGTAATCTTTTTTAGAGAGAGATTTTTGTTGTAAGGCGTGTGTGCTTGCTAGAAAGACAGAAAGACAGAAAGTGAGAAATCACACTCTCTGCCCCCCCACCCCCCTCCAAGGGATGGCCACGCTGCAATCCCTTCTCCTCTTGGGATTTTGGGCACGCATGCACATGCACCCAATGTGAGTTTCAAGCCACCGGGTCTGGGACTTGAACTGTGGTTGGCCATGTGAAAGCCCAGCCCCTTAACCACCATGCCACCTGCTGGTCCCAGAAAATGTAATCTTAAATTTTGATAAATGCAATGAAAAACAGGAACTGGGAATGAGGAATTAAAGGCAACAGTCCTGATGTCTAGAAACGAGTGATAAAGTGTCTGTGCTGGGTGTGTGTGTGTGCAGGAGCAGGAAGTGCACATGTCCTACGGCACAGCCTTCCGGTGTGTGAGACATTGCTGTGCAGGACCGAGCCAGAGTGCGTCAGAGATGGAATCAAAAGATGATCTCGGGCCTGGTCGGTGATGAGAAGAGCAGCACAACGGAGTGGTACTAAAGATTTGGAGGAGAGGGACCCTTTCTTTCACGAAGCAGGGTGAGAGAGGTGGCAAATGTGGAAGCTGCTCTTGCAGATTTTTAACGGCAAGGCTAGCGACATTTGGTCTGGTCGCTCAGTGTTGAGAAATGTGCCCTGTGCATTGTGGGGGACTCGGCCACCTTCCTGGTGTCCCCTCCCACTAGATGGCAGTGGTGATCCCGTCTCCCTGAGCTGTGACAATAGAACCACCTTTATTCATGCCACATTGGCAATGATGAGGGGGTGGAAAAGCCCTCCACTGAGAGCCCTGTGTGTGGGAGAAGCCCGGAGAGAGCTGATGACAGTGTGGCTGAGGATGAACAGCTACTAAAAGAGTGAGAAGAGGGCAACAGCAAAAGCTGCTCGGAGGTGGAAGGTAGACTCCACAGGATTGTTCGACAAGTTGGAGATGGAGGAGGAAAGGGAGTAAAAAAGCCAAGGGTGCCTCCCAGGGCTTTGGGTCTACTCGAACAAAGGAGGGGAGGGATTTTACTCACTGAGGAGGGGGAGTCAGCAGGTGCAGAGCTCTGAGAGTGGCAGGGATGAGGTTTTCAGGGATGTGGCCATGGGATGCCCACCAGACCTGCTGGTGAAGATGTTGAGCAAGCCATTGTGTACCAACACCCC